AGATTTGATATTTTGTTTGAAAATTTATCTTAGCAGTAAACATCTTACACAATGGTATTTTTTATGAAAAAAAGTGGAGTTATAGATGTTCGATTTGTCATATGACTAATAAATATCAATATACATTCATAGCATTGTATTTTTATTGAATTTGAAAAGAATAATAAAATTCCGAATCAATACTTTGAAAAGTCAACCTTTGTGATTTCTACAAATTTTTATTGATTGATCTTTTTTTTGGAACATATGCAAAGAAGGAAATAAAAAGAAACCTAGAAAAATAAATTTACACAAAAAATAAACAATTTGATTAAAGGAAAAAAAACAATAAGAAAATGTAGTTATAGTTAATAAAAAGTTCAATTTATATGATTTTAGAATTTCATGACAATTCTGTCTGCAAAAATCTAGATGAGATATGAGTTGATTACACGGATATTATTTTCCATTGTCCTTCATGAAAGTATGATATATGCGCAAAAAACAGTAAAAATATAAATCCTTCGTATAGACAAAGGAATAATGAATTAAAAATTAAGTTCATTGAAATTGACCAAAAAGTGATCATGCCAATTGAGGATCGAATGAAAAGGAATCCCTTCGTTCGGATGGGAAAAAGGGATCCCTTAAAGAATCCCTTCTTTCAGACCCTAAAAAAGAATCTCTACGATCTAAGTTAAATCGTTCGGGATGGGTAAAAGTAGGACCTGAACTGCTTCCAAAGCTAAAGGTAGAATCACGTCTGTCCAAACTAAAAGAATCCCTGCGATCAGTTAGACTGTATGTGCTATCTCGACGTTCCAAACTAAAATTAGAGTCTCTACGATCGGTTAAGCTGTATGTAGAACCTCGTCTCTCACCATTAAAACCATTAAGTCCATTGCTATTATTGCTACTACGTACGCCTAATGGATTCTTCGAGAAACTTAAACGAATTCCACCTTTTACAGAATTGCTGAGAGGATTACCGTAAAGTTCATTCATTGCCTGAGTGGCATAATGTACATCTTCGAATTCAACAAAGCACATAGGACCATTTTGTTTAGTTCGAAAACACATACGTTTATATCCAGGACAACGAGAGAACAATTGTTTAAGTTCATCTTCGGAGGTATTCATTGGCAAGTTTCCAACATAAAGAGTATTACATGGAGGATTTTGATCAGCAGGATTTGGAGGTCGAAAACCAGGGGAAGAGATTGATGGAGAAGAGGAGACGACAGATGGAGGAACAGCAGAAGTATTAATTGTTAAATGAGACATTGCTAATGGCAAGTCATCATTTACAAGTAAAGCAGAGTTAAAGCCATTTGTTTGGGTCTTTGCAGTTTTAGAAACAATTTCAACAGGGTTAGATTTTGAAAGGTAGTTAATATCATCATCAAAGATTCCTTTAGTATTATTAGTAATATATCGAGGACGCGAAGGAGCACCAACCAAACCATTTGCAGCATCAAAAGAACCACGAGTTGAAGAGAAAGGAGTTTGATCAGGGAACACAGGGGTTGTAGGCGTTGTAGGAGTATATACACTCACATCAGAATAAAAATCGTAGCCATAATCTTGAGGAGAAAGGAGGTCACTCGGTAAAGGAGGAGGTGCAAGGGGAGGAGGAACAGAATAGAAAGCCTCATAAGTAGCATTAGCAGTATTGATATTATTAGGAGTTGGAAAACGTTTAGTTGGCGATATAAGAGGATAAGCAGGAGCATTTTGATCGTTAGAAAGGCCACGTTTAGTATGCAAGTTTTTCTTTGCCATTTCAGCTTTGAGAACCGACCCCTTTTCAGCATCAACCTTTCTTCCGCTAAGAATGTCACGAGCTTCAAGAGCTTCAAGCTTAGTACGAAATTTTGCAAACCCAATCTGAAAAGTAAAGCAATTAATAATTTAGAAAATAAAAAAACATTTACTAAACAAAAATTCAACAACTTTGATTTTATATAGGATATATCATTTGACTATACATATATATTCATTTAATAATGGATAAATGTATTTCGGTACGTACAATTTGTTTCCTTGCATTGCTACCATTAACAATTCCATTGCCGTTACCGTTTCCAATGCCGTTACCATTTGTAGGTCCATCATCATCTGACGAATCCTTTTGTGGAATCTTCAAAGTAGCAGCTTCGAAGCCAGGAGAAAAGATGAACATATTTTGGAATTCTCGTTCTTGCATATCGTCAGGAAAGCCGACGACAAAGATTGTAGATATCTCTTCGTTTATCATGATGAAATTAAGTAATTATAATGAGAAGGGCAGGTGAATAGTAAATATTGAGGCGAAAAAAGGATTATATATGTACAGAAAAAAAAAAATAACAGCTATATATGCAAAAGATGTTGGAACAAGCCAGAGAGAAAGTACAAAGTGTAATAGGGGGATGCTGAATAACCAATATTCTGGAGGGAGGCAAACAACAGTTCTACTGGAAATGCCGAAGATGTAGATTTTAAAAAAAATTTTTTTGGAATTTCGTGCCAATGGTGATAATTGAATGCTTCGAATAAGATAATTAGAATATTGAGAATGTTATATTGTAGTACCCAAAGACAAAATAATATGTCAGGGTACAAGAACAAAATACTTTTTAATAATGAGTTGGTGAAGAGAGGAGACTATGTTTGTAGATGCTTGTGTGCAAAATGGGGATAAAAGTTTATAAGATGCTAAAAATTCTATTGTTTGTAATATTAATTTGTTGCTTGAAAAATGGAAGTAAAAAGGTTGTTGCTATGTACAATAAGGCATATATGCAATTGTGGTAATGCAGCAGCTGCAGAGAAAGGAAGAATAAAGAAGACAGCGAAGAGATCAAAACACTTGCTGACGACTAAAAATATGATAAGAGGACGTAAAGTTAGCGGGTTCAAGAAGCCATAAGATTAAATTGCAAGAAAGTTTAATTTGTAATAAACTACTAATTAAAACAAAACTACCTTATTGAAATGACGCGAATAGTTAAGACCAAAACTCAATTAATGAGCGAACAACAATGCAGGGCCAGAGAGAGCAAAAGAGTTCGCGGCCCTTTTTATTGCAAATATTAACAGTTTTACAATATTGAAAAAATAATGCAGTATGTACTCAGTATATGGTACAAGCTCAAAAAAGGGGGATAGAGCGATTGGGGGTTTGAATATTGATTGATTGACTAACTGAAATATTGAATGTTTTATAATAATATAATAATAATGTTTTACATAAATAATACATGATAAATCAGGCAGAATAGAAATCATTCATTTTTCTTTTGCATTGTAGTAAACAAATGGATTGGTCTTAGTTTAATTTTATAATCACCAAGTCTTTATAAATATCACTGATCTTTCGAGGAAAATGACATAGACATAGTAAAGAGAAGAGATTAATATGTGCCTATAGATCAATGATCAAATAGAAGCATCACGAAACGATATATACAATCCTATTTTTTATTTTATTTTATAAAACATGACAATCTTGTCTTTTACGAACATTATATATTCGGTATACCCTAAATCAGTATCTGATAAGCCATCAGTTTATTTTCTCCTCACGAGCCTTCCCGTTCGTCAACTATTTTTATTAGAAAAAAAATTTCCGAGGATTATCCACAAACTGCGGATGATTGTAAAATGCGAAATCTGCAGAATATTCGCTGTCAAGACTAATTTTATAGATAAAACAGATAAGATAAATCTGGATGTGATTTCACCTTTACCTTTAATATTAAAAAGTTTTTACTTCCCATTTATTATCTCCCATTGATAACCTTATATATCTAAACGTCCAAACATGGCATCATATATACACATATATAAATTATACAGTAGAACAGCCTTTTTGGAGTAAAGATAAATGAAAACAATAATGGTGATATTGTTTAAATACAATATGTAAGATGTTTTTAAAAAGATAATACAGAAGACATTGTTATTATACCTCCCGGCCGATTTAGATATGTTACTCAAGCACAGCAGAAAATTTTAACCTGTTTATTTTTTCGGGGTTAGTGCATAAAGGGTACGTCAAGAATGTACGGTGAGTGCGTCAGGCTGGTAAATTTCCGTGAAGTTGGGATGAACTTTGTGATTTGATGGATTTGATGTGATCAATGATGAATGTTATATAAAGTATTATATATATATTTAAAAAAATGAATGAATATTATTTTTTTTATAAAATTATGCCGAAAATCCACATATCCTTTATTCCAACATCTTTAAGATCCTGGTGATTAATCGTCGAATTTAAGTATTTCAGATTTATCCGTTGGACTAGTGTTGGTTGTTCAAATGATTATTTTTTACTAATATTGAAATATTTACAATATTTGTGTTCGGAATATCCTCATCCCGATCCATCAAGATATTATTAGCCAACAGACAATCACTAAAATAAAACAATGTATAGTGGAGACCTCAGTTCTTTAATTAACAGTTAATTAATATAAGCGTAAAAAATGGTACGTAGAAAATGCTTCTCAAATATAAAAATCAGAGATCTACGAAAAAAAAAAGGATTACTAACCGTAGCATATAGCCATGTAAGTGTTAGCGCAAATGTTCTATTAACACTAATGAAAAATCTTACTGTAAAAAGCTAGTTCTCGGTTTTGTACACCTGTACGCCACTAGCATTAATAAGCGATTAAAATTAAACATTAAAATATATTATATTATGAGTTCTCTTTTGACGTTACTGTTTTATTCAAACATAGATTTTTATAGGCTGACGCTCTTATTATTGACGCACTCACCATTATTGACGTACCCCAAGCACTAACCCCGAAAAAAATAAAGCAAGGGATCTCAAGCACTCGGACAATTTCTCGATTTTTATCGCATTTGCTTGCATTAATCCTGTACACAACGCAGCCTGCTGTGCAACTGCCTATCCGCGCCCCCTCAAGTTAATCTACCTAACTATAGTAATAAAATCTTGCCACAACATTTTTGTAAACACTTTTTTTTTTTTTCTTAAAAAAAAAAAAAAAAAAAAAAAAATCCCCCTATCCGCTATAAAAACAATCTATTTAAAAACGATCTATTTTAGCTTTGGGGTTTTAATTATTGTCCCCATTTATTTTCGTAAAAAGTGGCTATTTCACCCACAATTGTAATAATGAAGGAAAGACCACAAATAGAAATAGATGATATCCACATATAGTTACCAAACAATTTGTAAAGTTTGTAGTCGCTCGCAAGAAAATACATGTTATCATCCTTGGTATTTCAGGCTGTGTGCGATCCGTTCTTAACAAGTACATACGTTTGTTTTCTACGTATCTACCAATTATCAGTTATCTGTTATCATTATTTAACGCTAAATTTTACGGTAAGCTATGTCACGTGATGGTGTGATATGGGTTTAAATATGTTTTACCCTACAAAGTAACGAAAGTGCTTTTCGAAAATGTCGCGTCCAACTGAAGAAAGAAATCAAGATGCTACTGTATATATCGGAAACCTTGATGAGCGATGTACAGAGGCTTTGATCTGGGAGCTAATGCTACAAGCTGGTCCAGTTGGTAAGCTTTTATTTATCTTTTTATCGGCTATTTATTTTATTTTAATGTTGAAAGGTTAATTTTACTTTATCAAAGTTAACGTCCATTTACCAAAGGACCGTGTTACTCAAACACATCAAGGCTATGGATTTTGTGAGTATATGAGCGAAGAAGATGCTGATTATTCTATAAAAATAATGAATCAAATTAAATTATATGGTAAACCCATTCGTGTCAATAAGGTGTGTTTAATGATTTTTTTTAAAATGTCTATTGTACGATCAAATAAATTTATGATTTTTATTCAAAACAGGCAACTTCTGATAAAAAGAACTTGGATGTTGGTGCTTCATTATTTATTGGCAATTTGGATCCCGATGTTGACGAGAAAATGTTATATGATACATTCAGTGCATTTGGTGTTATTGTGCAGACCCCAAAGGTACTTGGATCTTCTTTAATTTCTTTGAATTTACATATTAAATAATATAAACTTAATTTTCTTTGTAGATCGCAAGGGATCCTGATACTGGAAATAGTAAAGGATACGGTTTTATTTCTTACGATAATTTTGATTCATCCGATGCTGCAATCGACGCTATGAATGGTCAGTATTTGATGAATAAGTCAATCACAGTATCATATGCGTTCAAAAAGGATGGTAAAGGAGAGAGACATGGAAGTGCTGCTGGTATGTGCTATTAATAATTTTACTGATTATAATGGTTTTGTCTTTAGAATGTTTATTAATTTCCTTGTATTGTATCATTCATAGAACGCTTATTGGCTGCACAAGCTAAAAAGAACCAAAGTTTGCCGAATCGTCTCTTTGCTGACATTCGACCTCTAGCTCCTCAGCAAATTATAGCAGCGCGACCAATCGCTCCAAATCCTCCGATTGTTAGTGCATTGTCACGACCTGGTGCCATACCAACACCGATGGTTCCCCAATCGAATATATATGCTGGATACCCTGCTCCTGGAACAACAAATCAATCACAATCCCCACCTAGACCACCCGCAATAAATGGAACTCCGGGTACAACATCACAACAAGGGTATCCACCGGGATCTTCTGTTCCTAGTAATTGGTAAATAAGATTACAACCTAAACTTTTTTTCGAATTGACATCACACATAGTTTGGATTTGGGAATTTGGATTCTAGTTAATTCGGAACAATAATAAATCAAAAACTTAACTAACAAATCAAGTATTTTAAATCAATGTTATAAATTATTTAAACTTCGTAAATTTATTTTCGAATTAAGAAAATAAAGAATCTAGAAATAACTAGATAGAATAGATTGAGAAATCAATAAATAGCATTCTTAGTAAATTAGTACATATTTATATTAAAATACAATAGTGCTAATACTCGAACAGGGTTATGTGAAGCTGTAATAGCTATATTAAAAGATAATTTTTTTACCAAATAAAAATTTTTATTTTATAATAAACTGTATAATGCTAGTAATAAAAATTATTTTTAGTTAAATTTTGCTTTAATGGTATTTAATTTAGAATAAATTTATATACCGCATCCTGTCATCGCATGTATATATTAAATTATAATTTGTAAATCCGGGTCAAACCAATTTTTATATAAAAATTAATATCAGATTGAGGTTGGGTTAGGGTTAGGGCAGGGGTTAAAATTTTATTCATTAGAACATGAAAAGTGGTTTCATAGATAAAATTTTGAGGTATTACAAAAAGAATAAATTTATATACCGCATCCTACAATATACTAATTCATCGCATGTATATGTTGTACCTCAGATTAATGCTTGCGTCAGATGTCGACTTTTTGGCCCGCATTAACTGATCGACATTGATTGACCTAAATTAAGCCCAAATCCTTCCCAGATTCTTACCCTTACCCTATTCTAACTTAGGCCGATTGACATCTGAGGCAAGCGTTAGTCTGAGGCACGACATATATATATATTAAATTATAATTTTTTTTTGATATTAAGGTGATTTTTTTGGCTAAATCTTTTTATTAGAAGGATTACAACAAGAGTATAACTAGCCACATATTTCTTTTAAACTTTGATTATATCTTAAAACTAGTTTATTCTTAAAATAAACTTATTAGAGCCTTCTTTATTTCATGTCTGGCTAATCTAATTATTTATAATTATTAAAATTTTACTTATAGTTAAAATAAATTTTATTTAACTGGTATGTTTTTGTAAAATTTACTTAAAACTCTAGTACTTATATATTTTACTTTTTTCTAATTTGTAAACTTTTTTAAAGTATTTTAATCTTATATAGTTTAACCTTGATACAATCACTAGCTTGGAAAACAAGAATCTGGTGATTATAAAAAGATGTGACTACATAAAGATCAAATTTTATATGTCTTATATTAGGTTTATTTAAAAAATAGTGTAATTTTATCAAGGTTGTGACTATATCAAGAGTGACTATAATGAGGTTAGACTGTAGTCTAAAAAATTAGATTTATTAAACCTTTGATTTATAATTATGGTTTCTGGATTTAGTTTAGTTCAGGTTTAGATTTAATAAACCTAAACCTGAATCTAAATATAAACTACAGTTTGTAATATTTAAAGACTAAAATCATATAACTTGTTCTATTTTAAATCCAAAGATTAAAATTGCAAAAAGGCTATTTTATATGTATTTTCTGTGCGATTACATAACCAATCAGGCATTATCTAAAGATATAGTAAAATAAAATTAATAAAATATTTTATTACTATTATAGTTTATAATACCTAAAAACTAAAATCACATGACTTGTCTCATTTTGAATCAAAAAATTAAAATTGCAAAAAGGATATTTTATATATATTTTTGTGCAATTACATAATCAACAGGTTATTATCTAAAGATACAGTAAAATAAAATTAATAAAATATTTTATTACTATTAGTAAAATTGTAAAATTAATTTTACCAACATCTTTAATTACTTATAGTTATAAATTTATATCAAACTTAATTAAAATTTAAATAAACTAAAAAATAATTGCTAATAAAACACAAATCTAATAAGACTAATTAATTACAATTTTATATAAGTCTTATATAATCAATTTTATTATTATTTATACAATGTCTTTATTTTTATTCTTTTATTAAAATTATGTATAAAAATACTAAACATCTAATTATTAATATAATATAATAATAAGTATATTTAATTAATTCCCATATTTATAGCTTTAAGTTTTTTAATATATTATTAATATTCTAATTTTCTTTTTATCTTATACTGTTATTTGTCAAAAACTATTTTGATAATGCTAAATTAAAGATGCAATATAATTAAAAAAAAAAATTAAAAAAAAAAAAATGTTAAAAAAAAAGAATTTCTATTTGTACATAGAGTGTATATATACAGGTAATGTAAAAACTAATTAATATTTTAAAATTTTGACTATGAAACCACTTTTTGATTTTTAACAAAAAAAATTTCATGGAAATTTTTGGTATAAACTAATTCTCACTCTAATTCCAAATCTATTTTTACTCTAACTATAAGCAAGGGTTTAATTTTTTATTTTTTATTTTATTTTTTTTTAATATTAAGGTGACCACTTAGGTTCCCGGCACTTAGCTTTATTTAGATAAATACGATATTACATCAATTTCATGAGGATACAACTAGCCACACGTGTACTTTTG